GGGTTGGGGGTGCCAACCCGCGACCAGACCCAACCCGACCACCAAACCCCAAAACCCGAAAACCGCCCAAATAATACAAAAAATCGACCCAAACCGATCGGTTTGGGTTGGTTCGGTCGGTTTCGTAGGGTGGATCGATTTTTTACCCACCTCTAGTTTCAGCAATTGAACAGAATGCATCTTCTCGGAGAGTTCTCTCTGAGAGAGGTTTTCTCTGAGAGAGCTTTCTTTTACAGCTGAGATCAAAAGTTGCAGCAGAACTAGTAGCATAAATTCATCATTTTCGAGCTCTCAATCTGACTATTCAGTTTCTATTTTTGATTATTTCATAAATCTTGATCAGAATGAATCAAGACAGTATTCTTGGGGCAAAATCAATCAAACCATCCAGTTATGGACCTCACTATACCAATAGCACAAACATTTACCAAGAGGAAGCCTTTATTGAAGATTGAATTGCCCGAGGTGAAAAAATTCGACTGGATCCACTTCTCCGAGTCGACTCGGTCAAACTTGGTGGCGATGGTGCAGGACAACTCGACTGTGGAGGAGAAGAGACATTACGGAGGGATAAGACGGTGACCATAGGGCAAGTACGCGGCGGAGATAAGCAGCGCGGCTCACGTGTCTGACTTGGGAGAATTTACAATACAATTCTCCAATTCCCTCACTCTCGAAAAAAAAGCCCTAATTCTCTTTATACCTAAACAACAAAAAATATAGAAAGAGTATGGTGTCAAAATTTGTTTGTAAAAAAACCTGAAGGGAAACAGAGAGAGCCGAATAACATGATGGATTTCGCAACCTTGGCTGCTGTTGATTTTCACAGATTTAGGTTTTAGGGGGTTTCGCTGACAGTGTAGGGTTTTGAATAGGACTTGATCTGAAAATGGGAGAAGCCGCCGTTGTTGAGAGGAAAATGGAAGATGCTTTTGCACTGAGTTATTGGTAGTTGAAGGTGGCGGTATGGGTATGATTGAAGATGAAGTGAGGGGTTGGGTGAAGTGGCGTGGTACATACAAATATAATTTATTTAAAAAAAAATAAAAAGTTTGCGTTTGTAATTATTCCTTTTTAATTTTGATAATTTCTACTGTTTTTACGATTAAACTAATGGAATTGAACGGTACAGATTTTCCACACCTAAATGGTTCTATTCCGAATTTCAAATAAGGACATTTTCTACTATTTTCAATAGGTTTCCTTATATCGTCTACCGTGTAGAAGATTTTATGCTATTAAGTATGTTTTAAATCATCCGGTTGAGTTTGAAAGACTCGACTCACCTTGTAACTCAACTGGATGATGTTTAAATTTAAAATGAATTTTAAATTAGACACATTTTGCCCCCATTTGGTACACATTTTGAAGGTAAGAATTCATTTTTACTGTTGATGTGATTGATAATATTTGGTTGAAAAAGAAGGAAAATTTATTGACCCCCGGGACGACACTTTAAAAATTTTACACTCGTATTATATCATCAATGCATATGTCAAACCAGGTGATCCGAAGTACAAAATCGGAGAATATAAATATCAATGGACTCTGAACTCTAAAACAATAATAGAAGATGTTCCACATAACGAAAACCAAATAGATGCACCGAAATATGATATCGTCCCATTCAACGACTTAGAGACTTACAGAGGATCAATTGGAGGAATATGTAGTTTGATTTAAATATTATTACAAATTAATTATCAATAAATCAACATTTCATATTTACATTTTCAGGCATTTTAGCTGTTGCAATCAAAATGAAACCAACTAAAGAGGTAACGACAACATTTGGACCAGCAACAATCCAAGAGATATATATTATCGACGAAAGGTAAAAAAATTGTTCTAACTTCTCATTTCTTCTAAATTTGNAATTTAGGAATATTTTATTAATTCTTTTAATAATTTCAATTTTGTAGCTTGAACATATGTTTGACTATGCGAGGTCGATTCGGCCAAGACGAATGCCAGAAAATATCAGATATTATTGAAAATACGCCAATAATACTTGGAACAAAAATATCGGTTGGATCATATAACGGTATTTTTAATAATAAAAAATGTTATATATTTTTCCATACTGTATACACTTGCACTAATATTGATCACAATTTCAACAAAGGATTGTCTCTCTCATCACGTCCAACAAGTGCCTTTATAATCAATCCTCTTCTTCTTGAGGCAGCTGCAATGAGGCAGTGATAATTCTCTACAATTAAATATTACATATCAAGGCATTAATATTACACTTAATTATGTGACTCGTGTCATTTAATTGTATATTTCATTTCCTTACATAATACTTCTTTTCTCAATTTCAAGGGCGGACAATAACGATTCGATAATTAAAAGTATCATTGCAACATCCTTGACATACCCATCTGCACCACTTCCATCTGTTGGTATTTGGGAAATTGTGAAGAATTGCTACATTACAGATTTCATTAAGGGTTTTCAACCCTTGGCGGTAAATATTATTTTATTATTAATTCATTACAAGATCGACACAAACATTCATTCTACAAATTTATTATGGTTCAATACAGAAAGCAAAAATCTGGACAAATGCGAAGATCAAGGTGATTGAGTTTGCCCAGGTATTTTATTAAGGGTTTACAACCCTTGGCGGTAAATATTATTTTGTTACTAATTCATTACAAGATCGACACAAACATTCATTCTACAAATTTATTATGGTTCAATACAGAAAGCAAAAATCTGGACAAAAGCGAAGATCAAGGTGATTGAGTTTGCCCAGACATTTTATTACATGTCATGTGTTGCCTGTAACAGAGGAACGTGATACAAATACAACGAAACCTTCGTTTGTATATATTGCAAAAGCTAAGAGGTCAGCCAACCACGGTATGTATCTCACAATCTCAATTACAAATTTATGACTGCTCCAATTTACAATCAAACACAACTCAAATTCAAATTATTATATTCAACGCATTCAAAGTGCTAGAGCATATGTTGAATTGGACGATAATACTGGAAAGCTAGCTGCTACTATGTTTGGTGAAATAGCAGAACAAGCACTTAGTTGTTCAGCAGTTCAATTGATGGAACATGGTGGAGAGGTATCTCTTCAATTTTTCTTCAACACCTGACTTTCATCATAATGAGTTATTTCAAATATAATTCCGTATATATTAATCATGCAAACCCATTCAAAATTTGTTTTGTAGGAAAATCAACAGTATATTCAAAGCGTCGCGGAAAAATTATCAACAAAAAATTGGATGATTCAGATTTTTGTAGATCCAGAGAAGCTAAAGGAGAAAAAATATAGACATTTCAATGTCCTCTCCATTGAAGCAATGCAAAATAAGGAAACTGTTGTATCGTCATCTTCGAATCAAAATTGTCTCAAACACCTTCCATAAAACTACGAGCTCCGTTCATTTATACCAACATTCCATGGATTCTATTATTGCTCTTTTCAAAATATATATCGCCCCGTGTGATTCTTTACCAATTACATAAACATTACATCATTACTTCTTTAAATACCCAAAACAATACCATCTTCATTAATAAGAAATTTAATTTTGACCACATCAATTAAATAAGAACTAAGCAAACGTGCATTGCACGTTGCTTGCACCTAGTATATATATAAAAGCTAAGAGATTATGCTTTAAAAAATAAAAAATAATAATTAATAAATATCTTTAACTTTACAATTAATAAACTTTATTAATGAATTCAATAATTTAGAGAATAAATTTGTACTAATAAAAAACTAGTTTTAATGGACTAATATTTAATATGGAATAATAAGGTATAAAAACATATTAGCAGCACTTGTTTTCGTAATTTATTATTTTAGTTGTTTTTATTCTGTAATTAAATATCATAAGTTAGAACTATTTAAAATAAAACCAGGTGATTATTAAATTGAAATATTTTAAATGTAAGAGAATATTTATAAGATCAATTACGTCGTCGTTCCAAAATTTTAAATTTATTTTTATTCCAACTAATTTTACGATAGAATCTAGGAATCAAATTTTTTGTCGTAATTATTAAACAATTTAATATCATTAATATTTAATAAAATTAAATAAATAAATATTCATGATTAAACTTCATAAGTAACAAGATCATAATTAAAAATGAAAATTTAAGATTAAATTATTGAGTTTTTTATAAATGAGATTTTTGAAAAATGATCTTAACATATTTAGGGTGTGTTTGTCTCCCATTATTGGAAGAAAAATATAGTAATGAATAATATTTTTTTGAGAATGTGTGGTTGAAATTTAAAATAACTTTATTGATTTGTGTGTAGAATATTTTATTGGGTGAATGTGTGGTGTAGAATCTTACAGTAGCAAACAATTTTTTGGAATAATGAGACAAACAGGGACTTAATTTACCAATAGAATTTTCATTGTTAAATAAAGTAATCAAATATAAAAAAAAATACTATATATTAGTTCAAGAAAAAATCATGTTTATAAATAATAGTCTAAGATTGGCCGGAGCAAGTTGGGTCGGGATGGAGAGTCGTAAGCACGGTGGGGATCATAGGGCATCCTAAAAAATAAATATTAATAGAAAAATAATATATTAAATAAAAATAATCTGTGTAGACTTTCGACTTTTTATATAATCTTTTTTAGCGAAGTTTATTTTACCATTTGAAAATTTTTGGAAATTCATTGGTAATTTATTTTATGTTTTGTTGTTTTACTATTTTTTTATTCGTTTAAATAGAAGAGCGAATTTTATTTAACTATCAAAATGGAGGAAATGACGAGGTTTGCAACGTAATTCAAAGGTTGTAGATAAATTATGTTAACAAAAAGTTGAGGTTATATTTATTACATTTTACAAAGGGTAATTTGTGCAAAACGTCCTTACTTTTGACGGGTTTTGTGCAGAACGTACATTTTTGGCGCAAAACGTCATTTTCCCAAATTTTGACCATTTTGCCCTTCTATTAAAATAAAAAAAAACGAAAGAAATGAAAAATACAGAATAAATTGCAATTTTACTTATAGACTTTTCTAAAAATGCAAATGAGTCCAAAACTTATAAAAATATTAAAAATAACAAAAAAAAAACTCTCTTAATCTCCTAGCCGCCGGTTATGAACCCAATTTCCACCTCATTCCGGCCACCAATACAGTCGGATATCTCTGCTGACTTAATCTCCTCAACATCCTCTAGAATTTTCATCCAAGAACTCCAAATTTCATCCACTTATACGCCAGAAATCATGCATCAAAACCAGCAAATCGAAGTTTTGCAATCTGCCGGAAATCTCTCCTTCGACCACCGTCATGGTCGCGGACCACCACGAATTGTCTGCCAAGGTCCAGGAGACACAGAATATGGCCCCAATTCACTCCAAACAACACACCATCAAACTGAATTAATTCATGAAACAACGCCAGTCACGAGGTCTTCTCTACGCTCCAAAGAACTCTAATTTTGGCGCCATCCGGCCAACCCAGGGTCGCAGACCACCTGGGTTGGGTTCGTCTTCATCAGGAGCAGCTGACTCACTAATGTGTCGACCCATTACGCTCAGAACATGTTCAATTTTCGTCTGAATTGTTCGTTGTGTGAACTCACGGGTTGCCTGCTTTGTAAGTTTTGAATTTGATTTCCGGCCAAATCTGCCGGAATTTGGGCTGGTGGTTGGGTAGGTTGTGAAGAGGGCAATGAGGGCTTCAAGGTGGTATGTTGGTCGGCGGCCAAGGTGATCGAAGGTTGATGAATTTGCCTTCAAAGGTGGTGGCTTAGGGGGTGATGATTTTTTCATGTTTGTGACTGATTTGCACATTTTTAAAAGTTTGGACTCATAATTGCAATTTATTATGTATTTTTCTTTCTTTCTTTTTTTGTTTTCTTTTAATAGAAGGGTAAAATGGTCAAAAAGTGGGGAAGAAGACGTTTTGCTCCAAAAATGTGAAAGGTAGGGACGTTCTGCGCCAAGAAACGAAACGTAAGGACGTTTTGCATAAAACCCGTCAAAAGTAGGAACGTTTTGCGCCAATTACCCTTTTACAAAGATTGAGTATGAACCGTGAAAATTTCCTCGAAAAATTTGAAGCCATCCCTCCCACGATAAGTAATTAAGGACAAACTCGGTATTTCCCAGAAGCATGTAAGAGCCGTGCACTCAAACGCCGTCGTTTGCATACCTACCCAAACTCTCCTGCAGCTCTGCTAAATTTCCCCTCATCTTCCAAAGCTCCACAGCAAATACCATTAAAATTTCCCAGGTTTTTTCTTATCTCAGTAATCTCTTCAATTTAATCTCTCTCCACAAACACATTTTCATATTGCATTGTTTTTTTTTTTTTGCAATAAATCTATTGACTTTCCAAAATTTGTGTATATACATGCGGATATAGGTATATATACCTATATACAATGGGGGTAGGAGGAAGGGATGTGTCGATATCACTGGAAGGTTTGAGGGACAAGAATTTGATGCAGTTGAAAAAACTTAACACTGCCCTTTTCCCGGTCCGGTACAATGATAAGTACTATGCCGATGCTCTCACCTCCGGTGAATTTACCAAATTAGGTCAGATTTAACTTCTTGGTTTTTTTTTTTTTTTCAATTGGGTTTTTCTTGTTTTTCCTTTTTTGTAAGCAGGGACAAATGATGTGTGATTTTTTCCCCCTATGTTTTTCAGGATTTGATGTTATATTGCTGGAGAAATATATTATTTAATCAATCTTATTACTGGGCATTTCTTGTTTTGCCTTAATACTAGCTATTGGAATAGAAACCGCACTTATAACGCTATTTCTGGGTCTTATGAAGGATTTTGAGCGCATAAATAAGGAAATATGGTGATATTTCTTTTGCTTTTGGTTGGATTTTATATCCTCGGTTTCAGTTAGGGGATTATTCAGTGATTTAGGGTTTTTTTTTCTGCTTGCATATTACCTGTATAAAGTAAATGTGCTTATTGATGTTTAATGGTGTATTTTACAGGTTTTGAGGCTCATTTTGATATGTAATCTTCCTTTATCCTATTTCTTTCTTTCTTTTTGTTTAATCCAATTCTACATCTGGGTTTGACATTGTTACCAGCTAAATCAACTAGTTGTTGATTTCTTTTTCATGTATACAAACTTATCACTTCACTTTTTAACCTGGAGTGTTTTTGAGGATGTATAATCATTTCCTGGTCAGAAGCATAGGTGTTTTCTTATCTTCCGCATTATCATATTGCTAGTCAGGGTTTTTCTTTGGTAAATGGCTAGTTCTCATTTTGTCTATGAAACTTTTTATTGCTGATTACCTGAATGATGTTAGGGGTTTAACATCCAGATTAATTGTAAATGTGCTTTGGATCTTATTTAGCCCTCGTTTGGGCTCCATTTTTTCAAAACTTATTTTCAACCACACTTTTTTAATAAAATAATATTTTGCATAACCCAAAACTTTTCCATGTTTTTTGACAACACATTTTTCTAAAAGTTCACTATTCCAAACACTTTTTTTCCCAAAACTTCATTTTAATGGAGCCCAAACAGGGGCTTAGTTTAGTTTTCTCTGATAGTTTTTTAATCAACTATTCAGTTCTTGTTGCTTGAATATAGATTTTTCATTATGTTAATCTTTCTGTGGAGAAGTATTGGTTGGTTTATGTTTGACCTTTGCTTCTTGATTTTGCTTGCATGCTCAGTACCTTCAAAGTTTTCTGTTTTATGCTTGTGGTTTCTTGTATTCTCAAGGTTTTAGTTCATCGCATAGATTTTCTTTTATGACTGATGTTAGTTGTTCTATTCTAACTAACAAATTTCACTGTTCCAAATCAACTTCCATGCTGAACAATTTGCTACTGTAAAGAGCTATATGACTGAGCATGGACAAGAAGAAGCTTGATTATAAAGTGTAGCACATTGAGTATAGACCTCTTCACAGCATATCAGTTACATATTTGACCAAGTTTGCCATAATAAGTGAATTTTGTCCGAAGAACACCCTCTCATTACGTTTAACTATAGAGACATGGTGCACCAATGTATTCAAAACTATATTGCAATAGGTGGAAAACTGTCAAGATATATGCCCTCCTATGCTACTCTAGATTTTGACTTCATGGGATTAAGGGAAGGAAATCTTTTGCATTGCCCAATGTATAAAACCATCATCATAAGGTAAGTTCAGGGTGATATAGTTTGAAAAATAGTGTTTTATTAGCTCCAAATTGCTCTGTATTATGGTACATTAAAACTATCCATATTCAGAGTCCACTATGAAGATAGTTGAAAAGCTGTAGGCGCTTCTATCAATAAATTTAGTGATTGCTTGTCAACTCAGCAAAGGAGTATTGAGGGTGTGTTTGAGCCACATTATTTTGGAAGAATTTATTTTGGAATAGTAGATTGATGAAGAATGTGTTGTTGAAAAAGAAGGAAAATTTATTGATGTGATGAAAAATATTATTTTATTGAAGAATGTGTGGTTGAAAATGAGTAAAAGAATGAAAATGAAAATTTTAATGTGGTTCAAACATGGGCTTATTTTTGTTTAAGCTTCATTGCATACAGCATCTCAGCATTGTGTGTGGCTTTAGGGTTGTTTAGGTTTTAGGGTTTGGGGATTGTGAAGGTAGCATCTACTTTATACTTGAGTGGTGTTACTCAATGGGCTGATATTTCATCCATGTGACAAAAATATTAAAAAAAGGGGGAATTAAACTAGTGTGCTCTTGAATAAATTTCAGCTTCTTCTCATAATTGTTTACGGTTGGCTTTGTAGATGCTCTTTCTGCGATTCAGTTAAAGACTAGCATCCAAAATCCCCACCCCAAAATGAGTAAAAAGAATCATCCTCAAGATGGTGCAGTATGACTTATTACTGAGGCAATTGCAGTAACATAAACTTAGAAATACACCTGCAAGCTTCGGCAGTCTTTTTCAATTGACCTTTCCACCTGCACTGTGAAATAGCCTTGGCATCTGGTTGGTTGAAGCACGGACAAAGCTTTTTGCCAGGTTTTAGGCTAATGATGCTTAAATTATTGACTTGGAAATATGGGAACATAATGGTGAAACCAAGGAAAAAATTGCTGTTATTATTTGAAGAAAATATTGATACATTTACCTAATAGGATACAAGTGTAGAACTACAAAATAGTGGTGTAAACTTTATGGTATCCTTGGGATTATAGCAGTAGATATACAATTAAAAGAATGGCCAGGAATTATGACTTAAATCTAATTGTTATCCGCCACGTACTGACTTGGAAACAATAAATCTCAATGTTTTGAATAAATTTAATGAGTTCAATTATGTGATTGTGAAAATGCATCACGCATGTTTGAAGAGAAGTCGGATGGACACAGAAAAAAGAATAACCACGTGGCAAGGAAAGTTGGAGGTAACAATGATATCAACAGTTGATGCGCTGGTTGTGAATTGCCAGTTCATATATTTTTCAAATAATTCTTATGACTTCAGTTTTAAACCGTTGTCATATTGCTATTTAACTTGTAATGCGTGTCCTTCAAATTGTTGAGTATAACTTGAATTTGCGTCGTCTTCTTGTTGGTGATATTTTTCATTCATCTTTTCATCTTTCTGCCTTTTCGTTGTAACTCTTATCTACTGGTGACACATGTTCAAGGTATATGAGAATACCAAACCCTAACAACCATATACAACTCTTCTGACTTGAATGACTTTGTGGAGAACACGCTATGTAGTTCCCTTTCATTATCAATTGTCATAGTACTCCATCAAATACTACTATGCATTTGAATGATTCTCCTAAAAGCACAGCACGCAGATTGAATGGCATAACACACGATGACTATTTGTGTGAACCAACTTTAAAAACATCTTAAAAGTAACCATAGGTCTTAAAAACCCGTATGTTACCAGTTCCTCTATTTACTAAATATTAATGATCATGTTTCTCAGTTTTCTGTATGGCGCTCTTTATTTTTTTCAAATTAATCAATTTATAAAAAAGTAACCAAATATATGGGAAAACCATCTGCCTCAGGTTATGTTATTCTCATTGTCCATTCAGATATTACCAAGATATCTCTAAATTTGGATATCTATTGTTTTTCCAGCGTATTACAGTGACATTTGTGTTGGATCAATTGCATGCCGTCTTGAGAAGAAGGAAGGTGGTGGTATTCGTGTATACATAATGACATTAGGTGTCTTGGCACCTTATCGCGGGTTAGGTATTGGTAAGTAATCAGCTAGTCTGATTTTCGAAAACAAGGTGATGTTATTTGACAATATCAAGTCTATGTTTGGCTCATGTTTATAAACACTCAATTTACTTTTTATCCACGGATTTTGAGGGACCCAAAACTATTACCCACTTATCCTTCACTCATTTCCATCTATTTATATTATTAACACTTGCTAAATTTGGTTTTGGTGTATCTAGGTACAAAGCTGTTGAGTCATGTGCTCAATCTTTGTGCAAAGCAGAATATTGGTGAGATCTACTTGCATGTGCAGACGAACAACGACGATGCCATCAACTTCTACAAGAACTTTGGGTTTGAAATCACGGAAACCATTCAGAACTACTATACAAATATTACTCCACCAGATTGCTTCGTTGTTACCAAATTCATTACTCAAACAAAGAAATGACAATTTGGATTGAGTTCTTTCTAGATTGATTTTTTACTTTGCTTTAATGAAAGCATAAACTAGTTTTTGGGATCTGAAGATTGTGGGGTTAGCCATTCATTGGTAATGTTATGGAGTATTCTGAGTCTAGTTTTACAGGGAATTTTGCTATGCGAGAATAGAAATGCTGATCAATATTAGACATTGAAGTTATTTATAGTCTTCTATCTCAAGTCGGTCATGTTTGGTATAAAGTACTAAACGGATTCTAGTTTATTTTTCTTTCTTATACTGTCCAGCTCAAATCACCTCATTGATCAGTGATCACACAATTGGTTATTTATAAACTATTTATTTATTTTTATCATTTTGCATCTCTAGTTTACCCTTGGACCTCTGCGTCCAATACTTGGTTCTGGTCTAAATAGTTATGCTCCTTTCAAGTGCCCATCATCCACTGAACTTAATGAAGCTTCTCAATAGCCACTGAGCTTAATTCCGTCTTACTAAACTAGCCACGGATTCCATCTGTGATTGTGTCTACATGGAGATGAAATTCATCCGGTGTCCAGTTAGTGTAATGGGCGGTGGCCATTGGAAAGCTTTTTCAGTAGCGGAGTCGTGACGAGGTGTAAAGTTTAGTGGCCGCTTCTCATTCGACTTTACTTGCCAAATAAAATATTTATATTGATTTTTTTTTAAATTCATTTTTAATTATATTTTTCTCAATGAAATAAATAAAATAATTGAATTCATAATTTTCCGTACTTTTTAATAATTTTCTTGTAAAAAATTCAATTTTTACAAATTTAGTCAATGTTCGAGTCACATTAAAATTTTCATTTTTATTTTCATTATTTTACTCACTTTCAATCTCACATTCTTTAATAAAATAATATTTTCCATCACATTAATAATTTTTTCTTCTTTTTCAACCACACATTTTTCATGAATTAAGCTATGTGTACATAATAGTACTCATAATATTTCACATAGTGGCGCACAGGCGCCCCCCAATTGTGGTAAAAAACAGCCCTATTCTATAAAAAATTTACTGTACATATAGATAAATATTGATTAATTTAAAATAAAATAAGCAAATATTATTTTTAAATTCAAATTAAACGTTAAATTACTTTTTAATCTGCGAAGCATAGGAAAAAACTTGATGATGCGAGCTTCTTCTTCCCCCCACTTCCTCGCCGCTGCTGCCTCAGCCAAACCCTTCAACGCCGCCGCCGTCACCGGGTCTTCTACAATGTCTTCTCGACCCTATGTATTTTCCAATTACACACAGCTGTTTCTCATCACTCCATTAATTTTTCGTGTTTAAAGATACTGCTTTCTTCTTCTTGCAGCCGAAAGGGGGCCGTGGACGAGGCAGGAGACCGTACTCCGACGAGCCTTCAGGCTCCGACCCTCAATTCGTTTCTGGTGACCCTCATTTCCAGTCAGTAGGCGACACTAATCGCGGTTTCCGCCCTCCACGTCAGCCCAATTACCGTGCCGTTCCTCATCCGCCTCAATACGATTCGGGTCAACAGTTTTCCGGGCCAACCCCTCAACAGCATCACAGACCTCCACCACAGTTTTGGCCGGCGAGACCACCTTTTGGTCATGATCAGAAATTTAGACGACAGCAGCTTCAGTTCAGGCCGAGAGCTACAAAGCCTGCTGATTACAGGAACTGGGAGTATGCGAAGCCAGGACCCCCTCCGCATTGCGGTAATCGATTTTTATTTGTTATTTATCATTTTGTTTTTGATTATTGTGAATCACTATTGAAACTATAATTAAAGAACAATTTTTGGGGCATTGTATGAATTTCAATATTTGAGCCGAAGTATGGAACTGATATATTAGAATTAAAGAAGGATGTATAGGTTAGAGGGAAATTAAAGAGTACTGGCATTTTCTCTTTGGGATCAGCAACTGTAAATTCACCTAGTTTGTAATTTGCATAATTAGTTTTTAGCTATCAAGCTTGGTAGCAATTCTTCATCTCGACAATATCAACTTAAATATCAATTAATCAATTCTTTTTTTACTTCGTCTTTTGTTCTGCATAATATTTGAACTTGCTTCAGCATAGAAGTAGGTGCATTTTCAGTGTTTATCATATGTCGTCTAGGAGCTTCTGCAAAGAAAAGAAATCAATTTGGGTTAAAGGTGTATTAAGAGGGTTATTGAAATATTGTCTTACCGTACTTGACTGCCTGAGTTTACAATTGCATCTATTAATATCTAGCCTCTTTTCTTGTGTTACTTGGTTTATACATTTTCCTCACTGTACTATTTATTCTGTGAGTTAACCTTATTTCGGTTTGGTTATGCCATTTTAGAGCGGTTCACAGTTCTCTCATACAATATACTAGCTGACTACTTGGCTATCGATCACCGAAGTAAACTTTACTTTCACATACCTCGCCATATCTTGGATTGGAGTTGGCGCAAGAAAAATATTATTTTTGAGCTTGGTTTATGGTCTGCTGATATATTATGTTTTCAGGTGATCATTGTGATACCTTTGCAAGATCAAGTTTATCACTTTATCTTTCTATGCTTTTTGTCGACTGAACTTCATTACATGTATAAGCATGAAATGCGCTTATAGATTATTGTCATTATTAGGAATGATCAGCAAATTATTCAATCTATAATTGACTGTTAGCTCAGTTGAAGGTGTAGTTTCTGCTGGAATGCTATGGTTTATATTCATTCTAAGGTGCATTTTGGAACAATGATTAGGCGTCTTTCATCTTTTACATGATTGCATAATCTCTTTTGTCTATTATTTTTCTGATATACATCAGTTTTATTCATTTTTCTCCCGGCATTTTCCTTTCTTCTTTCTTTATATTATAATTAAAATGAAATTCTTGCATTTCTTTAGCAATTAATGTGTTTATCTTCAGTTATCTGTCAAAGATACATTCTTATGATGATCCAATATTTAGGTCTGCCTTTTAATTTCTTTTATTTGAAAAACTAGGAGGTTGATAGGTTTCAAGACATGGAGGCAGAACTGATTCCCCGAGGATACAATGGCATTTGGAAGGTTTGTGGAAAACCAATTAGTTGCTTTGATTCTATCATGTGGAATTTGGACTATCCTATTTGATCATTCATCGCTTTAGCTTGTTCATAGATTGCAGTAAGCGTTATTGATGGTAAACGGAAACTATCGTATTAAATACTCCACTAAAGCATTAGATGAAGTATTATTTTTGGTTAATAGCAGGCATTCTTTGTGGAATGTTGGGGGGTTGGGTGTTGCATGTCTTATGTGAAGGTTAGGTTAACTGGTTCTCACCTATCTGCTTATGAATTCAAACATCGAATCTACATTGTGGTGCACTTAAAATTCGTGGAATATCTCAAAGCCATACCTATTTAACCAAAAGTAAGGCAGAGTGAAGGTAATTGAATCTATACAATTATTGTGATCTCTAGGCTTTGTTCGTTCTCCAACATGTTTTAAGTGTACTTTTCCATATAACAATTGCTTTATAGTGTTTATTTTTCAAGATTCATGCAAAATCTTAGTTTTCTGGACATATGTGTTTATGAAGACTTGACTGCTCCCCTCCTCTCCCCCGAATCAATGTATAGTTTTTAACATGTTTTTCTTATATGTTTTAATGTATGCACCTACATCAATTGATTAATAAACTTATGCTTATCATATGAAAAGGAAGTATAAAACAACTAAGGTGCTGCAAATCACTACTTGCATCTGTGCACTCTCTAAGACGATAATTTGTAACTATTGATGTACATGATAGACTAATTATGTTTATATCTATTTGTAGATGCGAACTGGTGATCCCGTTGATGGTTGTGCAATATTTTGGCGTGTTTCTAGGTAGTAGTTCCTATTTCTTGCAAGTGTTTAAATTTTAAGTATCAAATATTTAAGCCCCCGTTTGACAACTATTATTTCAAAACTCTTTAATTCTCATTTTCATTTTCATCAGCACATTTATACAATAAAATATTTTGTGTGTAAATCTAAAACTTTTCCCTCCTTTTTTGACTACACATTCTTCGAAAAATCACTATTCAAAATATCATTTTTCAAAATAATGGCCATCAAACAGGGGCTATATCTACTTTACCTATTTGATTTTAACTTAAGATCTATTTTCTATGAAATAACATATTGAACCACTTCATATAAAAACTTAAGTTAGACTATTAGAAAAATGACAAACATAGAGAACACAACAATTTAATTATGTTCTATGAGCTATTAATTATGCAATTGCTATTGAAGATTTTAGGTCGAAAAAGCTACTGAGATTCACAAATGATCAACGATGAGGTTGAGATATTGGTGAGAAGAAAACACAACAATTTACTAATTTTGTTGATAGGTTTAGGTTGAGTTTAAAACAGTACAACTTAAGACTGCTGACTGTTCATGCATATGATGTTTCCCACTATAAACTCAACAGGGTAGACCCTTATGTCAAGGGGACTGATTGATTCGCCATGTATAAGTTTGCAGTGCTACAGCAGTGATAAGACAAAGGGTTTAGTGTTTTGGTCCATTAAAGGAATGTGAACTGTTCACCAAGTGGGTTAAATTGGCACTGTTTTGTTTCCGTATTCCATTATTTCCCCATTCACGCAAGTAAAGAATAAGAAATCCTCTCTACTCAGAATTGATTATATTCTTTTGTATTTTAGATTCAAGTTGCTGTTTGAAGAAACTATTGAATTTAATAAGCTTGGTCTTCGGGACAATGTTGCGCAGATATGTGTGTTTGAGGTATATCAATTTCTAAATTACTTTGTTGGAAGCATTGTTTAAGCATGGTTCTCAAATGTCTGAATTGATTTTGCGTTTCTTCATTAATATTTTGTTTATTGTTGAATAGTCTCTGAATCAGCAGTACAATAGTAATCCACCAGCTGGCCCTGCAAGGTAACATTTATAACATTCTTTAGTACTGTATTTTTGACCTTATAATAACTGTTTCCTTGACATTTCAAATTTCTAAGTGTAAACATAAGAC